TCATATCACTCTTTATGATGTTTTATACGTTCCCAGCCTTCGATGCAGTTTGATTTCATTATATCAATTGTTGGATCGTTCTGACTGCACCGCTCAATTTACTAACAAATCCTGTGTTATTCGGGACCACACTTCGCAGAAGGTAATTGGCGCGGGTGAGCAGTTGGGAGGTCTCTACTTCTTTCGAGAGATGGTTTCTACGGCACTTTCTTGTGTTCGGAAGGTTTCTGCCGATGTGTGGCATCAACGTTTGGGTCATCCGTCTGCTCAAGTATTGTCCCAGGTTACTGTTATCGATTCTAGTTCTCGTAATTTGCATAGATCGTGTGATGCTTGCTTTCGTGCTAAACAACATCGCCGTAGATTTCCTCTCAGTCAGACTGTTAGTCACGAGATTTTTCATTTGATTCATTGTGATTTGTGGGGTCCGTATCGTGTTTCGTCCTTCTGTGGTGCACGATATTTTTTGACTATTGTGGATGATTGTTCTCGTGGAACATGGGTTTATTTATTGAATGATAAGACGGAGGTTGCTTCCACGTTGCTGAATTTTTTTTCTATGATTAAGCGACAATTTGATAAATTGGTGCGAGTTGTTCGTAGTGATAATTGAAGTGAGTTCATGTGTTTGGCCTCTTATTTTCGTCGTCAAGGGATTGTGCAAGAGACTTCTTGTGTAGGCACCCCTCAGCAGAGTGGGCGCGTTGAACGCAAACATCAACATATTCTCAATGTAGCTCGTGCTTTGCGTTTTCAGGCTCATTTGCCTCTTTTTTTTGGGGTCATTGTGTTTTGACTGCGGTCTATCTGATAAATCTGACTCCTTAGTCGGTTTTACATGGTAAAACCCCATATGAGATTCTTTATGGTTCGGCTCCTTCTTTGTCTCATTTGCGGGTTTTTGGTTGCCTTTGTTATGCTCATAACCAAGATCGTAATGGTGACAAGTTTGCTGCTCGGGGTCGTCGTTGTCTATTTGTTGGTTATCCTTTTGGCAAAAAGGGGTGGAGTTTGTATGATTTGGATCGTCAAATTTTCTTTGTCTCTCGTGATGTAGAGTTTCTTGAGGCTGAATTCCCATACCAGTCAGACTCGTCTGAGCCAGATTCTTTGTCACCGCCTCTTGTTGTGCCCGTTTCATCTACGCCGAATGATGATGAGGATCTTTCGGTTGTCCCTTTGCCTCATGTTTCTCTTGATACTGGGTCTTCTGCTTCTGATATAAACACGTCTGATGATAGGGGAGGTTCCGTTACCACTACCTCTCCCACTCTCCCAGTGGAGCCCTTGGGTCGTGGTCATCGGACTAAAGTTCCTTCCACTCGGCTGAAGGACTTTGTGGTTGACACTGTCCGGCCCACGAGTGATCCCCTCACTGTTTCTCCTCAATCGTCTCCATCCTTCGGTACACCTTATCCCATAGCACATTATGTTTCTTGTGATTCATTCTCTCCAACTCATCGAGCTTTTTTGGCTGCTGTCGCCTCTGCTGTTGAGCCTCGCACTTTTTCTGATGTCGTGACTGATCCTCGATGGCGAGCCGCTATGCAGGATGAGATTCGTGCCTTGGAAAATAATGGCACGTGGGATGTAGTTTCTCTTCCATCTGAGAAGCGTGCGATTGGGTGCAAGTGGGTCTTTAAGATCAAGCATAAGTCTGACGGTTCCATTGAGCGCTATAAAGCGCGTCTGGTGATTTTGGGCAATAATCAGGTGGAAGGTCTTGACTATCACGAGACGTTTGCTCCCGTCGCCAAAATGGTTACAGTGCTGCTAAGCATTGGGAAGTTCACCAGATGGATGTTCACAATGTTTTTCTTCATGGTGATTTGGCTGAGGAGGTTTACATGAAGTTTCCTTCTGGTTTTCGTTCTGGCGTTGATGGGCAAGTTTGCCGTCTTCGTCGTTCTCTCTACAGCTTGAAACAGGCCCCCCGCTGCTGGTTTGCCAAGTTGACCACGGCTTTGAAGCAGTATGGTTTTTGTCAATCCTATCATGATTACTCTCTTTTTACACTGCATCGTGGTTCTGTCGATTTGCAGGTTCTGATCTATGTTGATGATTTGATTGTTTCCGGGAATGACACCACATCCATTGCGGCTTTCAAGAGTTACTTGAGTCGCTGTTTTCACATGAAGGATCTTGGATTGCTTAAGTATTTTCTGGGTATCGAGGTTGCCCGGAATTCTTCTGGATTCTTTTTTTGTCAGCGGAAGTATGCTCTTGACATCATAGTCGAGGTCGGATTACTTGGGAGCAAGCCAGCTGATTTTCCATTAGAGCAGAATCATCAGCTACCTCTTGCTGAGGGTGATCTATTGTCTGATCCCGAGCGATATCGTCGTTTAGTCGGACGTCTTATCTATCTGGCATCGACTCGACCTGCTGTCTTATTCGGTGAATATGCTCTCTCAATTTATGCATCAACCGCGTCAGGCTCACTGGGACTCTGCTCTGCGTGTGGTTCGATATTTGAAAAGCTCTTCTGGTCAGGGGATTCATCTTCGTACTGACTGCGATCTTCAACTCTATGCATGGTGTGATTCGGATTGGGCGTCTTGCCCTCTCACTCGACGCTCTCTTTCTGGTTGGTTTATTCAGCTGGGTCAGTCTCCTGTTTCTTGGCAAACCAAGAAACAACCTACTGTCCCACGCTCTTCTGCTGAGGCTGAATATCGCGCGATGGCTACTACATTGTGCGAGTTGAAGTGGTTGTGTGGACTATTATCTACTCTTGGTGTCGCTCACTCTCAGCCTATGCGGTTATACTTTGACAGTCAGTCTGCACTACATATTGCGGCAAATCCAGTTTTTCACGAGCGGACTAAGCATATTGAGGTGGATTGTCACTTTGTTCGAGATGCTGTTCTTCAGGGCTTCATTTCTACTACTCATGTTCCTTCTGGGGAACAACTTGCTGACATTTTCACCAAGGCACTTGGAAAGCGCGAATTAGATGTCTTTCTTGGCAAGTTGGGCATTCGAAATCCGCATGCTCCAACTTGAGGGGGGGTGTTATTGTGTATATTTGTGTAATTACTATATTAGCCTTATGTTCTCTTTAGGTAACCGTAGCCCTAATTTTGTGTATATATATTCATGGTTAATAGAATATTGAATCATCCGATTGAGATGATCTTTCCCACATTCTTTGTACGTCTCTTTCGTATCAAAATGGACGTTGGATGATGCCGAACAGAGGAATTTTAGTCTTTAAATATGTATACAAATTAATTATTATAGATAATTTATAGCTAAAATCTATCACGGAATTATTCCGTGACGGAACTACAGTCTTTTCCTAAAATAACATGTGCCCGTTCAGAATTTCTGGCAAGGCCCTTAGCTAAAGAAAAATATCTGCAGTCCAATATCACACACACACACACCAAAAACATCAAATGCATACTACATGTCATCCACAAATATTCAAACACCATAAACAATATATCCACAAAATTCAAAACCTTGTCCTCGTACGGTCGTATATACCCCCTCTCAACACATTTCAAAATTCATTCGAAGTATTAAAAAAATGTAGAAACATTTGAACACAACACACACACACACGCACATAGAGAGAGAGACTCTATACTCTGGTCTATAAAAGTAGCTCCCCTCCCTTTTCAAACTCACCTCACTCCACACACAAAAACGCACACTTGAAACTTCCCATTTTTTTCCATATGGATAATTTCCTCCGGCACATCCTAGTCAGCATACTGGCGGCGGCGGCCGCCGCCGCCCTCGTCTCCCGTCTCCGCGGCCGCCGTCTCCGCCTCCCCCCGGGCCCGTTCTCCCTCCCGTTTCTCGGCAGCTGGCTCCACATCGGCAACAACCTCGACCACCACGACCTCACCCGCTACTCCCGGACCCTCGGCAACATTTTTCTCCTCCGCATGGGCACGCGCCGTATAGCAGTGGTCTCCTCTCAGGATCTCGCCAAAGAGGTCCTTCTCACCCGCGGCAAGGAGTTCGGTTCCCGGTCGCGAAACATCGTGTTCGACATCTTCACGGGTAAAGGTCAGGACATGGTTTTCGCGGAGTACGGGGAGCACTGGCGCAAGATGCGGAGGATCGTGACCCTGCCTTTCTTCACGGCCCGTGTGGTGCAGGAGCACCGCCGGGATTGGGAGGCTGAAGCGGCGACCGTGGTGGAGGAGGCGAGGCGGGATCCAGCTGCCTGTGGCGAAGGGGTTGTGCTCAGGAGGCTAATCGAGCTTATGGTTTATAATAACGTTTATGGGATTATGTTCGGAAGGAAGTTTGAGGGTTTGGAGGATCCTCTGTTTTTGAGGTTGAAAGGGGTGAATGGCGAGAGGAGTAGGCTTGGGCAGAGCTTGGAGTATAATTTCGGCGATTTCGTGCCGGTTTTGAGGCCGTTTTTGAGGGGGTATTTGAAGGTTTGCCGGGAGGTGACAGGGAGGAGGTTGAGTCTGTACCGGGACAAGTTTCTTGCCGAGAGGAAGTACGTAACTTTTATTTTTTTTTAATGTAGTTTTTTCGAGTTCGTTGGTTTATATAGTGTTCGGTTTTCTTGTCGTGTTTTGGTTTATGGCATAGGAAAATTGCATCCGCGGAAGGGATAGACAAAAACGGACCGAAATGCGGCGTAGATCACTTTCTCGAAGCCCAGAAGAATGGAGAGATCAGCGAAGACCATCTCCTTTACATTGTCGAGAACATGAACGTTGCCGGTATGATGAATTTTTTTGTTTCGAAAATTCATTTCGACAACGTGACGTATACAAATCTAGTATACGTCTCTTGCTGCTGTTATTGTTGTTAGTCAGGTCTAAGGGAATAAATCTGCTGATGTATTCTAAAATTATCAGCGATAGAGACAACGGTTTGGGCGCTCGAGTGGGCCATCGCCGAGCTAATCAACAACCCGGAAATCCAGAGCAAGCTCCGGGCCGAGCTCGACTCAGTCCTCGGGCCGGGAGTCCAAGTAACCGAGCCTGACACACACAAGCTCCCTTACCTCCAAGCTGTGATCAAGGAAACCCTACGCCTCCGGATGATAGTCCCATGCCTCGTCCCGCACATGAACCTCAAGCAAGAAAAGCTCGGGGGTTACGACATACCGGCCGAGAGCAGGATTTACGTGAACGCGTGGTGGCTAGCCAACGACCCGGCCCATTGGAAAAAGCCTGAGGAGTTTAGGCCCGAAAGGTTCTTGGAGGAAGAGTCTAAGGTGGACGTGATTGGGAATGATCTCAAGTACATCCCGTTTGGGGTCGGGAGGAGGAGCTGCCCGGGGATTGTCATGGCTATGCCGGTCGTGGGCATAACCTTGGGCAGGCTGGTGCAGAATTTCGAGCTTCTGCCACCGCCAGGGCAGGAGAAGATCGACATGAGCGAGAACAACGGGCAGTTCGCGACTCGGATAAAGACACATTACCGGGTTGTAATGAAGCCGAGGTCAGTTTGATTTGAATTTCGAGTACTTGGAGATTGTTGGAATAAAAAGGTGTAGTATGAGAAAAATGGATTGGGTGATGTAATGTATTTTAGTCCACGAGTCATCAACTACACTCTGTATTTCCTAAATACTACAGTTTGTGTTGGTTTGATCTCAATAAAATCATCTGCATTGTGTTTGTATTGTATATGCTTAGTTATGGTATTTGTTCTTTTGTTTCTGTTTTACTTGGATTCTGATGTGTAGTATGGCATGGTTAAAACTTTTAATTGTTTAGAGTTATCATTGGATCACACACACTCACACACAAACACACCCATATGTGATATGATGAATTAAAATGGTCAAACGAAATAAGTTGTTCGAGAGCACAACCCGACATATTAAAAATTATATAATAGTTCGATCCGATAAACTTCGAACAAAAATTATATGTAACTTTTCATGCGTTGACTTGTTAAGAATCAAACTAATTCATTGATATTGACGAGTGAGATTAGTTTGAGCTCGTAAATTGATTCGTTTAATTAGCATGGCTCAATAAAAACTCAATTGACGAGTGAGATTAGTTTGAGCTCGTAAATTGATTCGTTTAATTAGCATGGCTCAATAAAAACTCAAGTCAAAATTTAACCAACAAGGTTTTGCTCAAGTGGTAAGCAACATGATGTCGTTTAAGCAAGGTCTCGGTTCGAGTCCTTGTGGATGCAGATAACCATTATTGGGAGACTCACCCAACATTGCCAGATGTGCGATCTGGGTCGACCAACGAATTAATCGGGGCATAGCTCTAGATACCGTGGTGGCTAAAAAAAAAAAAACTGAGTCAAAACTTAAATATCAAAAACTTGAATTCAATTCATATGAGACTTCGTGGGGACAATGGGTGGGGAAAAACTCACACATGGGGAGTCCCATTCTCATCTCATAACTAAACTAACAAAGTTCATATGAGGCTTTGTGATAGAATATTTGGACAATAGGCTATTTGGGTCTATAAATATTTATTTACGGCCCAATTATTTTGAATTACATGCGATAATCTCTCTCATTCGGCCGGCCCAAAACTGTTTATACGCATCCACACGGCTTTTCCAGAAACTTCCCCTGCATCTACGCTTATATATAAAGTCGCTGCTCAAAGCCAGCTTCCAGAGACATCCGTCAGAGGTGATAAACAGGAAAAAAGGAAGTAGAATCAATCGGTCGATCGAGTGTTAGCGCAATCGCCTTATTAAGGTCAGTTTTACAGATGATTATGCTAATTTTATCATCGATTTCGTTGTTTGTATGCCAGCGATTTTATCTTAAGTAAATGGGAAATTGAATTGGATCTCAACCGTCTGTGAATCGTTGAATGATTTTGGATTTGTAAGTTTTTTCATGCGAAGGTTTGGCTGTCTATATGCTAATTGTTGTATCGATCGTTCTATGGTTGTGGATCTCTAGTACTTTTCATTCATGTTCTGCGATTCGTCACTCTTTAGGAATTTGATCGAAATATATTTGCTGTGCGTATGCTAATTGTTATGTCGTTCTATCGTGATTGAGCTCTATCATTTTCTGTTATCTTATCAGTTCAGTTTTCGTGAATGCATCGTACTATCTTCGTGAATGCGGATGGTTTTTTGTTTTGTGGTCATTTTGCAGTTTGTTGTTTATTGATGTTTGTTTGAATTTCTGGTTTCAGTTATGATTCGGGCTCAATTTTGTGAGGAGCTGTAGTTTGGTGACAAATTGAATGTTTAAAATTGCTGGTGATTTGATTTTAGAAAAATGGGTTGACAAATTAGAATGGTTACACATACTGCGTTAATTAAATTGCATATTAAATTTATAACAACCACAAGCCATTTGTTTTTCCTTCTGAGTCTATTGCTATACATACGAAGAAAACTATTACATTAGTCCTACTAATATTTCTTATATTCTAACCTATATGTATTAATTGTGGTCAATTTCACTTGCCTGTCCCAGTTACTGATTGTGTTGATTTGGTTTTGTTGATGCAGATGTCGTACTCTCGACGATCAAGGTGTGTACCTACACATACTGTATTCTTTTTATTTCGTTAATTATGAGGTGTTCTTGGTGTCTATATTTCAAAGTGATGTTTATGTGGTGGAATAATTTTGGTTTTTTAGGTACTCCAGTTCCCCTTCACCGTACAGGCGGTATGGTAGGTCTGTTTCCAGGTCTCGGTCAAGGAGCAGGTCAAGGTATAGTTCACAGCATTACAATTACATTTGTTTTTTCTCTGCTCGTGTTTATTCCTAGTAGGATTATACTAATGGTACCCTTGTTCCATTTTCTTAATTATAATCGAACAACTGACAGGAGCTGTGATTCTAGCGATGTGGACAATCCTGGAAATAACTTGTATGTGACGGGCCTATCTACTCGGGTAACAAAGAGAGATCTTGAGAAGCACTTTTCAACTGAGGGAAAGGTATGGGAAAGTAGTACTTGGTTTCTCAAATCACTTTGAAGTGGTTTTAACAGATTTTTATTAAAGCCGGCTAGCACTTTTGGTGCTTAAAGAAAAATGTTATTGTTCCATTTTTTCAGGTGGAAGATGTTCACCTTGTTGTTGATCCATGGACAAGGGAATCTCGTGGGTTTGGTTTTGTAACTATGTCAACACTGGAAGAAGCCAATCGCTGCATCAAGTACTTGGACCGTACGGTGCTTGAAGGCAGAGTTATTACGGTGGAGAAGGTAAATGGAACTAGCTTGCTCTTCTCTGTATGTTATCCTTCCTTCCTTGGCAATTTTATATCCAGTTATCTAATCTCCATAGTTTGAAAGTTACACTGTGTTGTCGCTTGAAGTTTCTTTGGCAACAGGGAAGCTGTGTGTAGCAGCTCTTCACCAAACTAACAAATCAAATCAAGCAAATATCAGACTAACATTTCAGTGGGTTGTATGCCCTGCATTTCTCTTTCCTTTTGTAATTTTGAACCTT